GAAGATCCTTGGTTTGAAAATGGTAGTTCATGAGGTATAGATGTTTATTTTTGCATGATTTTCATAGATTGGGGAAGAGGATACACTGAAGAATATCCATTTTAAAGTGTCTACATAGTTCTTTGGAGAGGTTGACTGTGCTTTTTGAAAAATACTGATCTCTTTTCTCTATATTTGTAAAAAATATTGGTTATATCCCAAAACTAGCACGTTCGGTGACCAGTCTTTTTAATGCTATTTGTTTAGTTATAAATTTTTGGCAAAGGAAATTATGGAATTAATAATACTTCCATTCATAGACTCTGCTCTTAATAAATCTAACGGAGTGTTTCTTGGGAGACCTAGGGCTAAACGTAAGGAAGCATTGTAAATCAGTTCTAGTTTCTGTATGTTGCTATTGCTAGAAAAGGAAAAAAGTTGACTTCCATAGTCAAAGATAGAACGGATTGTGGCATTGATAATATTTAAAAGATGATCAGATCTTGTTCCTATTTTCGGAGAAGATAAAGCTTTAATGGCATTTAAATATTTGAATCCTTTCTGACATAGGTAATGTATATGATTTTCAGGTGATATTGGGGATTGAGATTTATGCCCGGTTTTAAGACTCTTCACTTCGCGGGAATAGGTTTGTCGCATATTTTAAGTAATGGAGGTGTGCTTCTTTTCTGGAAAAGTTATTTGATTAGACTGCTTTTCTGGAGAGATTGGACAATTTTCATTTTACACCAGGCTAAAATATTATTTAAAGGTTCTTGCATTTCGTCTATTGTTTTATTCAATTTACTTACCGCTATTATATAAAAGATATATCGTCTGCATAAACGAAAGATGGCTGTCGTGTTTGAATTTCAAATATCTTGCCATATAAATCATAAATAGGAGAAAGGATTTAGATACAACCCTGAGGTAAACCATGAAATTATTTTCTTTTAATGATTTTTTTTGAAAAATTGTTCCTCCGGTAATTTGAATTGTTCTCCGATGTAAGAGTTTTGGATCCATCGAAGCAATCTACCAGAGTATCAACTTTTTTTAATTTAGAAACAAGACCACTTATTTTGGTGTATGCTAACTGTATGTAATGCTATCAAAATAAAATATTCCTTGCGTTCTCTAGCCGGTATATTTTAATATTTGTAATTGAAGTAACGTATTAATGCTGCTTTTCTGTGAGGGTAAAAACCATGATGATTAACATGAAAAATTTTATTTTGAAAACTGAAATCTAACATTCTATGCAGAATCATTCTTTCTAATAATCTGGCAGTTACTAAAGTAAGAGATATAGGACGGTGTGACGAAACTTCCTTGTGAATTTTGTAAGGTTTTATGAAAGGTAGAATAATTGCGCGAGTCTTTGGAATTTGACTTGAAGACCAACTGTCATTAAAGGAATTCAGGAAAAGATATTTAGTGCTTTGATGGGAGATGGTTAATTGTTTGGAGAGAAATCTTATCATGCCCTGGACTCCTGTTCTTTTGATGAGATATTGCTATTTCTAATTATTTAAAGAGAATGATTTATTAATATCTTGACTATTGTCCGGAATATATAGATATTTGGAATATTATCGTTGTTTTGTTTTGCGTAATATTGTAAGAAACAGTCTGTTTGGGATTGTTCGTTTTTTAGTATGGTTCCGTTATAATAATATTGGTAATTAGTTGATTTGTTTCTGGTTTTTGGTCATCCGGATTATTTTAAAAAGAATTTTAGAAGAGATTTTTTCACATGTCCTGTGCCAAAAGTTTTCTTTACAGGCTTTGATTGTTCGCTTAAGTTTTACGCTTATTTCTTTATATTTTATCCAGTCTTCTTTAAAGTTTTTTCTTGCTTTATTAAGGAGTTTTCTTTTATCCTTGTGCCCACATGCTGCTGCACTGTGTCCACCATGGAAGACTCTTGAACTAATCTGTTTTCTGATTCTTGAGATAAGATTTGAGCTTTTTTAATTTCTTCTATAATATCTATATTTATGTTTTCATTTAAATTTAACTTTTGTTGAATAATATTGATAATTTGTTTATTTGTGTTTTGTTTGGTATTTGTTGCTGAGCTGTTTGCTCTTTTGTAATTAATAATTATAGGGAAGTGGTCACTTCCAAAATTATCGGTATTTGAGGTCCAGGATAAATCATAATTTAAATTTATAGATGCTAAAGAACGATCTATAGATGTAAAAGTTCCCGATGAATGGAGATAAATTTGGACTTTTATCGTTAATATAACATTAAATTCATTTTCAATGTCAATCAAAAATCTTTTTCAGAAGCATTGGGATTTTTATCCCCATATCCAGTAGCGCACACAAAATTTTCAAGGGGGAGGGCCGGGGTTGAGAAAGTTCACCATTCTTATATCATGCTATTTTGATTTTGTCGATTTTCAGGGAACAAAAAGCCTGATAAAAACAATTGTGGGCGTAATTAGCATTAATTAATAAAATTAGTCATTAATAACAAATATTTAATTAAATTTTTTACGTATTATATACTTAGAATTATAACCAATCGGAAAAAAATCAAGGGCTTTGAGGGGGTCGGACTATGTGTCTGCCACTGCCCATATCTCATGAGATGCTTTGAAATTTCCCAATATTAAACTGTGATTATCAATATATGATGCTATTTTTGATAAATTGACGTCTTTAAAGTTACCTGGTATGGGATGTATATATTAAAAATTGTGATAAGAACTGTATCTCTATCTGAACTCTGACTATTAAAATTTCTAAGTCTTCACTAATTTCTGAGAATATTTTTATTGTGCTAATATCTTTGTTTAAAATTATCATTAACCCTCCTCTTTTGATTTCTCTATCAATTCGAAATATATTCTTATTGGGAAAATATCATTTGGATGTAACCAAGTTTCTTGAATTATTAAAATGCTTGCTTTTTGAAAAATTGGCGCGAAAAGAATATCTGACCACTTGTTTCTAATTCCACGTGCATTCCATTGGATTATATTCATGACTTTAAGGGAAAAAGATGCAATACTATGAATTAGTTTAAATATCCAAAAAAAAAGTGTGTGTGTACTTATGTACACACGTAAAAAGTTATACTTTGGCGTAACAAGATTAAAATCTTTAGCATGGCAATATGGGCCAAGGGCGAAAGGCGGTCACCAGCAGAGTAAAACGATACTAACCTTCAGTGTGTCAATTGGACCAACCCCAAACCTAAGATAATCACTATTTAAATAAATTTAAACACCCCCGCACAGGGACAATAGGACCAATAACATGGGGGTATCAGACTGTATCTGGAGATGAAGTGAGCCGAATATGACATCTGAGACCTCCTTTTGAATGTCTCGGCGGGAAGAATTGTTCCTGAGAAAATTAAGACATTCACCTGAAGAGCCCCCTAGTTATGGTCACATTTTAAAATTATTAAAACATTTAGAACAATTAAATAAAATAGAAGCAGAGCACCCAGCAACTCGAAGCTGTGCTTGGTTGTAAACAAACACAAGAGGAATCCATTAGAACCGGTTCGGGTCATGCAGTTGCAAATAAGGGCTGCACTTGCTCAGGAAAGAGAGAAAACGAAATGAACTCCCCGGGTGGAACGACTGTGACGTAAATGGTCACGTACATCCCAACGAGACACAAGTGGTACACGTGATCCCCAAAGTTTTCATCCCCTTCTATCTCTGTATTATCGTTACGTCATCAAAGATCGAACCCCATAGGAAAAACAGCTGAGGGATACTAATTTTAGTGATAACCCCTAAATCACTATCAACACACGATTTATAACAAATGAAACCGCTCGGAGAGCCTATGGTCCGAGTTTAACAGGCAATATCAAAATCCTCGAAGCTATGCGGGATTTAAAAAAAATTATAACTTTCAAATAATTTAAAAATGTTAAATATGGGTAAAGAAATGGGGCTATGTGGTCCTTAAAAAATATACCTAGGATGCTCATAGGAAGAACAATCGAATCCAACCTGTGCGGTGGACCAAGGTGGTATGGGATTCGAGTTATTTCTGAAACCTGTAGAGGGGAGAAAATTCCCTTAAAGCTCGCGCTAATACGAAAATATGGCGAACCTCAAAAATTAAGTTCCCTGAAAGCTCTCAATTTCGAAGGGGGTGAAATTTTCCAGTCCCGTAGGATGAACATGGGAGCATGACATTTTAGTGCTTAAACCCTCCCCATGCCTACACAATGGGAATGAAGCAGATGACTAGATGGAATTACTGAAGTGAGTGGAACACTTGGTTTAAATCTCAGTCCGAGACTCGAACAGGAGCCAAATATTGTGTAATTTAAACAAATTTAAAAAGAAGTTTAAGATAATTAAAAACTATGAAGAAATAGCCAATGAGCATGAAATTATAACTGGAAGAGCAGATTGAAGGAAGGATCGAATGAGCCAGGTCCTAATGGACTGTGTGTATGGGACTCGAGGAGCTCGAGATATTGGCAAAACGCTGTATATGGGGGAATGCGTCCCAGCAGATATGGTTTTATAACAATAGTTATTATGATCCCCAAATATCAGTCCTGCTTTGAAATTGGCATGTTAAAATATTAGACAACGGTGTGCGCGCGCGTATCGTTATCGTGACGGTGTGCGCGCACAGCGTGTAAAGGCTACCTCATCGAAAATTTTTCCCTAACGCCCAAAAGAAGGATAACTTCAAAAATAAAATATACACCGGTAAAAGGCTCTTATAATTTGTTGCAATGTAATAAATGTGTTTATGTTCATCGAATACGTTTGTAGTATAAATACACCTATAATCACATACTTGCAATTGTTATTTAAATAGGAAAACTAATATTTACTCTTAAGTTTTATGTACATGAAACACAATTTGAAGGTTAATTTAACAATTTTTTTTAATTTCCTGTATGTTTGGTTTAATAACAAAAAGTGTTCAAACAAATGCATCAGAGAAGCTCCGTAGGCGAAGGACGATCTCTCCCTACTACTACTGAAGTCACAAATCAGTGCAAAGCAAATGTTCGCAGACACGGAGGGTATAGCTCAGTGGTAGAGCATTCGACTTCTAATCGAATGTTCCCGGTTCAAACTCGGGTGTCCTCTTCTTCAGGGAAGTGAAGAGAAATATTTTTTTGAGAATTTCAAAGGCGGAAATGATCTGTCCCGTTCTGTTTATTTCTAGACAAAGCATTTTTGTATCCGTTCCTACGGAAAGCAAAGGTTCGCGGTCACGGGGTATAGCTCAGCGGTAGAGCATTCGACTGCAGATCGAGAGGTGCTCAGTTCTCACCCGGGAGCCCCCGTCTTCACAGAGTGAAAGAAACGAATTTTTCTTGGCGAGAATATCGAAGGCGGCAATAGTGTCTCGTTCTGTATATTTCCTAATCAAAACATTTTCGCGTATCCATTCCTACGGAACGCAAAACAAAGATTAGCGCTGACGTGGGGTATAGCTCAGTGGTAGGACATTCAGATGATACAGATCAGAAGAGGTCCCAGTTCAAACCGGGTGTCCTCTTTTCAGGGAAGTGAAGATAAATATATTCCTGAGAATTTTGAAGGTGGCACACAATGATCTGTTCTGTTTATTTCTAGACAAAGCCTTTCCGTATCGGTTCCTACGGAACGCAAAGCAAAGGTTCGCTGACGTGGGTGTATAGCTTAGTGGTAGAGCATTCGACTGCTAATCGAGGTCACCGGTTCAAACCAAGATTGCCCCTTCTTCAGAAGTGAAGAGAAATATATTTTTGGAGAAATTTGAAGGTGAGGTCAGTCTGCCGTTCTGCATATTTCTAATCAAAGCATTTTCGTATCCGTTCCTATGGAACGCAAAGCAAAGGTTATCTGACGCGGGAGTATAGCTCAGTGGTAGAGCATTCGACTGAAGATCGAGAGATCCTGGTTCAAACCCGGGTGTCTCTTCTTCAGGGAAGTGAAGAGAAATATTTTGTTTGAAATTTCGAAGGCGGGAACGATTTGTCCCGTTCTGTATATTTCTTGACAAAGCATTTTCGTATGCATTCCTACGGAACGCAAAGCAAAGGCTCGCTGACATGGTGTGTATAGCTCAGTGGTAGAGCTTTCGACTAAAGATCGAGAGGTCCCCGGTTCAAATCCGGGTGTCCCTTCTTCTGGGAAGTGAAGAGAAATATTTTCTTGAGAATTTCGAAGGCGGCAATGATCTCTCACTTTCTGTATATTTCTAGACAAAGCATTTTCGAAACGTGACGGTGTGCGCGCGCATCGTAAAAATATACCCTCATTCTATTTCTCTAACGCCCCACACAAAAGTATAACATCAAAAGAAAGCATTTTAATATTGAATTTTTTTTTTAGCGAGAATATAAGAAAATTTGTATATTTATTTAATTTTTTTTATTTTGTTTTACTACACTTTCTAATGTATTTCCCCTCTGTTCTGATATTTTCTTGAGTCTTTTTGCTTTTTCATTCATTTTTCTATTTATTAGATAATCATCCTCTTTTGGATTTGTTATATTTGATGCAACTTTTTTCAAGGTGGATTCCATGGTATTCATTAAGAAAAACTCAAATTTATTTGTGCTACCACGGTATTCAGTTCTGTCGTGAAGCGCTATACTATTTGTTTTAATTTCTTTTGAAATATGCTTTTGTTTTCTTCAAATTTCAATTCTAATTTTGTAAAAAAATTTTCGAGATTTTCTATCTTCTCTGTTTGATTGTTATAAGTTTTGGCCTAGTATGATGTTTTTTTTCCTTCCCCTTTTGGAATTTCTCAACTGCTTCGTTTCTCGAGATTTTTGCTGTACTTTAATTTTTAAGATTTCAACTTCCCCTTGATATCTCTTGCAACCTTTATCGTTAGCTTCATGCTCTTCTCCACAAGAGCTACATTTTTTATTTCTTTACACTCGTTTTCAGAGTGGTTTAGTGAGCAAATTCGGCATTTTATTGAGCTTCTACAAAATTTTTGAATGTGTCCAAATTTCCAACAGTTTGTGCATTGTTTAGGTTTTTCAAAGTAAAGGTTAGTTTTAAACATTTCAAACCCTATTGGAACTCTTTCGGGAATACTGCATCCAATTTGGGTAACTTTAATTGTTTTGATTGGTTTGAATCCAGATTCTGTTTTTTATAAAACGTTGAATATCAAAAATTGCATAGTTGTTATTTTCTAATTCCGATTTTATGTTATCTATTGTATATTCTGTGTCTATTCCTTGTAATATGTAACTACTGGTTAGGCCAATAAGGGACAATCTTGTACTTATTTTTACTCCATTAATTTCTTTAATTTTTAATGCTTTGGCGGTCTCGCAATTATTTGTTTTAATTATAATCTCTCCGTTTCTTGTTTTGCTTGTACTCAGAATACTTTTTTTAATTATGAACTCTCGTTATTATTTCTTTTAATTTAAATGGATTACCACTCCGAAAGTTATTTTCTGATTTTAAGACAATTGTAATATTCGAACTCGTATTAAAATTTTGTCCTTCCTCAAACTTGGCTAATAATTCCATATCTCTTAAATTACATCTATATTTATTTAATGAAAAATTAGAATTTGTACTTTCCACCTCCATTTTATTATCTGGGTGAGGGTAATCACCCATTTTCTCTTCCCTACTCCAACACTCAACTTTGTATCAATGCACTATCTTGTGTAAGTACTAAAAAAATGTCTTATCCAAAGATCGAAGAAAAGTTATACTAAATAAATTTCAAGGAAGAAAAAATCAAAACGGTCTCATTGCCTCGAATCCGCTTGAAATGTTTCTTACCGGCAACAACCTTTCAGCCGAATCAGAAGTCACGAGAACTCAAAATATTAGCTCTACAACAGTTCCACGAGTAGGAACTCAGACAGATAAAGTCGCAGTCAAAGCACAAGCAGATTCTGATATCGACTGACTCACTTCTGAATTCCACCGACCTTAAAAAAGGCTCAAGGAAGGGTAAATCCCAGTGACTTAAGCTTAATCTTGTTTTTCAAGTTCAGGCTGGGAGGCACACTTCCCCTGTAAAACTCAATTTTTCACCAGCAATGTATCACTACACGGAAAACAGCATAAGTTGCGTGTTTCAATATACTTTATAAGACAATGTTTGCTGGTGCTTGAATAAGGCTATAAATAATACAAAATATTTTTAAGCTGAGTAAAAAATAGAATTTGTATAAGAAATTTCATACGTCAGATATAATGAATTCAATTGGGTAAAACCTTACAGCATAAACAAAAAAAAATTATCATTATATGTTATCTTTTGAAATCAAAGTAGAAGAGACTTATATAATATTTAAAAAATGTTTAATAAAAGGTGCGACGTTATTTTGAGAAGGAAAATATATCAGAAATTTTTTTTTAATTTTATCACTTCCAAAAGAAAATTTGATTAAAAAAAGTACAAGACACAGTTAATTACAAGATACAATTTATGAATAAACTGGTATGTATTCAGATTTATTGCCTATATATATATATATATATATATTATATATACACACAAGTACATAAAAAACAAATGGTAGCATGTCTAAACGAAACTTTACATGTACAATAACTTTCTAACAAAATATTTAATTTACTGTTTCTTATGAACATTTTATTTCAATTTATTTTTTCCATGTCCCTAACAATTTTTAAAATTACATTAGAGCCTAGTTAAGGTATCCGACTACTTGCGACAACTTTTTTTTTGAAAAAATTAGAGATATGGGGATTTTCAGATTTATTTAGTATATTTTAAGGAAAAATCCTAAAATTGAAAACAGAAAACAAAATTATTAAAATGGGAAAAACTGATGAAAATGTACAAAAAATTACATAAACGATACCCAGCTCTGTACAAAAATTTTAAGAAAAAATTCTCAATTTTTCAAGTTTGGTGTGTTACTTTGTAAATCATGTTTGAAATGACCTTCAGGATAAGAGATATATTTTAATTTTTATAAAAACTAGAGCACACTTTATCTTAGTGATTACATGAAATTGCTTAAAAAACAGCGATTAAATTCACATAAAGGACTGTTGAAAAATCTGAAGGTCAAAACACTTCTATTCTTATACAGAACATATATCAAAAATTTCGGCAAATTATTTTCAAAACTTTCTGAGCCATCGCTGTCCCCGTTTGAGCTTTTCGAAAAAAAAACACATTTCGAGTAAAACGCATTTTAAAATTTGACATCTTGTGTAAAGTTATGGCATCTGTTTTTACTAAAACACTTGTAATTTTTGTCCAAGTGAATGGAAAATAAAAATTTTGGTATTTTTATTAAGCTAATAAGATTGCCTATAAAATACAATTATAAAAAAATTTGCCAATTTTTGAAAAAAATCATGATTTTAGGGTAGTCGGATATCTTAAACCATCAGTGAAAAAGTAAACAGAAAAAGTAAATTAATAAGAATAGAGCTTTCTTAATCAAAAAATTAAAAAATGCAATAATTAATATTTTTCTTGGAATATCACAATAAAACATGTTTAAAGATAGTGTTTTTCTACTCTCTCTTATTATTTCTTGTCAAACCTTAAGGTAATTTTTCCCCATAAAATTTTTTTCTAATTTATTTGAAGCTTAAATAATTAAATTTCCACACCCTAAAACTACACAAATAAAAAAATATTTCTCTTACTACTATTATTTCAGTCTTTAATATAGACTGAGAATAAACAAAATATATTAAAAACAAATAAAGAGAATTGGTTTTTTTTTTTGCAACAAGCTTCTTAATTGCGAAAACAATGCTGAACTATGTTGGTTATTATCCCATTCTGAATGCGTGAGATTTCTATTAATGTCTCACTTTAAAACAACATGAAGGTTGCTGGGGACGGAGCCCGTAATTTTCAGCTTGGTCAAGTGACGAGAACGACATTGGTTAGCATACCCTCTCTTACCACACTACACCAAAGCGAGAGGACATTGAGCCTCAACAGATTTAACGTGCATCGGCCCCTCTACGCAACGGATCTTCAGTGACATCAGCACTCGAATCCACGACACGCCGGCCACGAGTTCATGACCACAGCAACTAGGCTACTACGGCCGCATAATTGAAAGAGAAAAAAATACTATTTTCAAAGAGCTGAAATTATAAAAAAAGGTGCAATGTTAAAGAGGAAAAAATATATATATTTATAAAAATTTACAAATTAATGATTTTCCTAGTTTAAAAAACCTTAAATTACAAAAGTAAAAAATTCTAAGAAACTCTTTTAAGAAAACAAACATTAATTAAAGATGTACGCATATACTGAATGTGTTTCTAAAATCTTCAGAAAAATTAAAGTGCTTGTAGGTAAAGCTGAAGTAATACTACAAAACCTGAGAAAACTGCATAGAAATGGGGGGAAAAAAGAGGAAAAAAAACTGAAACTGACATTCTTATTTCAAAATGTATCTTCTTACATTGAAATTTCCTTTTTAACCATATTCTACAAATCATGTGTTGAAACTTCCAATGTTAAAGAGTGAACTTATATTTAACATTTCAGATTACCTCAGTCCTGTCATGAAAAAAAAGCGTCCTTATGAATAATTCTTGTATAATCTCCAAGAATTCAGAATAGATGTATGTATACAACATGCATATCAATGTGGTCCACTTAATTTCAAAAATACTACTCGCGTAACACATTCACAGTATTGTACTATTTTTCTACTTTTATAGGTAAAGACTAGGAAATAAAACTATACAGAGAGATACATGCCGAAAAATATTACTTGAAGGCCATCAATGTAAAGGATTATAATTCTGAAATTAATATCAGCTTAATTGCCCATTTATACAGTCAGTCACAAAAGTCTACATACACCCCCCAATACACACAGATCTAGCACGATACTTATATTTTCGAAAATGCAACTTTATTTTCGTGTAATTATCTTAGATAATAATTCATATCTAATAAAGAAAATTATGAACATATTCAT